AAAGTGGCGAACTATTCAGCCCACTAATGCAATAACCTTTTGAAAATGAACAACAACATAAATAAATACATCAATGATAAATTAAAAAAGAAAAGAAAAAGAAACGCAAGAAAAGTAGAATACGTGCACTCTCAAAAAAAAGGTTAAAATAATGTCGATGTTATTTAAGCATTTTATAAAATAATTTCTGATTGTCTAGTGAGACAGGCGAAGATGAAAGATTATTGCAATCAACGAAGATATAAACGAACCATGGGTGGATTTAAGCTTAAGATAAGGTATAAAGAATTTTTTATTATGGCCATACCTTCAAGTTTAACGCGTATTCAAAGATCAAATAAGACTAAAAGAGGAAAGATGACTTTGTTGATGATCGAGTTTAAAAGTAAGACAAACGATACAGACTGGTCATTAAGGTTTTAGTTTTCTAACAAAGCGCGCTCATTTGTGACTTACTTGGTTTGAAAATAATTTTTCGATAAACTACATTAAATACTTCTACTTTAGCACCGTACGTGGAAATGTTTTGGCCATTCGATTCGGATACAAGTGACTTTTATGATGTTTACAATGGTGAATCTGTCAATAATATCACTTATACTTCTCCTGGTTATACAGGTTATGGTTCAGCTCTAAGTCTTCACCGATCATTATCACAATATGTAGTTGTTTCCAAATACCTAGATCTATCTTACACAAGTTTTACATTTGAAGTATGGATTAATACAGCAACCATCTCGATATCAAATAATAATTTAAGCGACAACGCTATCATTGGTCAGTGTGATAGTCTGACAGCTGATAAATGTCTCTCTCTTGCGCTAAGAAACGGTCGAGTACTCATGAGCTTTTATGGAAATGATTTATCAGGTTCAACTGTTTTAACAGTAGGAAGATGGTATCATATTGCCTATGTTTATGATTACACAGTATCAAACCAAATAATTTATGTGAATGGAGTGCTAGATGGCAGTCAAATTTCAAATCCTTACTTGGGAACAGTTGGAAATTTAACAATTGGAACTTCAATGTTGCTGACTTCAAACAATTATTTCGACGGATTCATTGATCAATTATATTTTGTGTCTCGAGCTAAGAATGCAACAGAAATATTAAGTGATGCTACTTTGGTTGTTTATTATTCATTTGACGGTAATCCAACCTCTGATTCAGGTCCACTTTATATAAACGGTACTAGTGTAAATGCTACATATGTTTCCGGACGTCTTGGTCAAGCGCTATCATTTGCTAGCAACGGCTATTTTAGAGGAACCGGTTTCACACAGTTAGGTGTAAGTAATCAATCCTTTTCGATCGCCTTGTGGATTAAACCTACTTCCTTGAGCGGAGGAACAATT